GCATATTTCTTTGTCGATGAAGTCTTCAGTGGCCCCCGAGTCAAGCATTGCATATATTGTTGTTTCTTCGCTTTCTCTGTTGTATATCTTCGTTTTGATCATCACATGATCTCCATCTTCTTCTCCTCTTTGCGTGTGTAGTGCCGTGTAGTAGTTTGCTAATTTGATGGGTTTTCCAGGTCCACATCTTGGCTCTCCCAGACCACCGTTTACTGGGGACCCTCTTTGTTTTCTGCCGGTGAATCCTCTGCTATCATTTCGCGGATGTTGCTTCTGTTCTGATTTTGGAAACGATTATTTCCAGTAGCTCTGTTTCCCTGGTATCCGTTGTCCAGTCGGCTTCTGCATTCTCGTATCCGATGCCCTGCTTTTCTACACCTTAGGTATAGTTTCCCATTCATCCTTCTGGCGTATTCTTTCTTAGACAGATTCAGAGCAGGCCCTGCTCTTGACTTGTCCAATTCCATCGGTTCACCTGGTGGTAATGTTCGACTTTCTCCTTGAGGTGCTTGCGGTTTGAAGGTCCCGTCCACATTCCTGGATGATTGGACCACCCTATGTACTATAGTATTTTCCGAGTTGCTCTGAACCATGTTTAATTTGCTTTCTTTGTCGATTGCCCATCTTGCAAATCGTTCGGCTGTCGTATAGCGCAGGTCAGAGATTCCGCATGCCTCTCAAAGTCTCTCACTGCAGTTTCTCAGGAGGATGATGTAGAGAGTCGCATCATCAAACTCGGCCTCGTATTCCAACAGTCGACATTCGTTCCAGTATGCTGAGAACGTTTGTTTTCCTTGCCGGAGTTTTTCTAGCTTTTGTCTTGCTGTTTCTTTGGCGTTAGGGTCTCCAAATTGTTCAAAGAGTATCGCCTTGAACTCTTCGTACGTGACCCATTCCCTCTGTTTCCGTCCATCTTGGAAGGGCATGATCTATTGTCCTGTGAGTCCTCTGAGTAGAGATTCCACATATGGAATCTTAATTTCATCACGGTGATCTCCGTATCGCTTAACTGCAAAATATTCCTCGCATTGCGCTAAGAATATTCGTAGCTTATCTTCAGCTCCTTCGTATGTGTCGGGCTCCTTTGCTTTTGGTCGTTAGACATTTCCTTGCCCTGTATTTCGCGTGGCTGCAAGAAATGCCTGAAAATGATTTTCAGTCATTCCAAGTATGCTGGTTCCTGGTGCCGGAGCAGCTGGGGCCAGTGGCCCAGGTACTGCGGATCCCGACATTCTCTCGTATCGTGGCATTCCAGCAGGAGAGCTATCGACTGGTAATCCTTTCTCTGGGGTTACTGGGCTTGCTGCTCTCGAGGATTCTGCTGAGACTTGATCTAGGGCGTCGCTGAATCCTCCTAGATTAAGATTTTGATCGTCGATGTCAATATCTCCTTCCCTGTCTGGGTTGAAGGATGCCGTCTTGTATCGTTTGGCGTCGCACTAGGTGATGCTTTGTAATGTAACGATCCCTCTTTGGATAGTTAGTGCTTGGCGATGGGGAACGATACTTCTCTTCCTGTCTTTCTTCTTCTTTTTGTCTTACAATAGCTCTAGGCTTCTGCCTACGTTACCGATAGTACAAGACCCTTGTCTTCTACCGGGAACGCCTATCGTAAGCTTTCTCTAACTCTTCTTCGTAAAGCTCCTTCCTTGGTGTAACGATAACGTTGCAATAAAGGTAAAGATCGTTAGGGTGTTTTATATTCATTAAAGTAATAAGTAGGAAAAGTACTTAGAACAAAGCATGAAGAACCTATCTTCCTCGGCCGCATCGGCCTCCTTATATAGTGTTCTTCCCGCCTTTAGTCATGTGACCTAAAGTGGTCACATGTGTGAAACTAAATCATAACAAACTAATCATATGACCAAAGTGATCACATGCTCAAAACCCATGACCTCATAGCAAGGTCATGTGCGAAACTCATAAACCAATCATAACACAATAAACAAGTCATATGACTTGACTGAGTCATATGCATGAAACCCATGACATCATAATGAGGTTATGTGCGAAACATAAATCATATGCGCAAGGCTTGCCCGTAAGGCACACTCGTAAGGCATACTCGTCAGGCGCATGTCTCATGACTCATACTTGAGCCATGTACGAAAGCATCACAAATCCCACACATAACTAATCATATAACCCGAATAGGTTATATGCGTGAAACAATAACATACCTGTGACTCATACCCATGTGTCACGTGAAAAACCCTTTCCTCGCTAAGCCACGTTCGTGACAGTTAGTTATTTCAATAGAAGGTATTGATTTAGTCCTGCTATAAATACTAATTATGTTAGAAGTACTATATAATATAGAAATACAAGATATTATCATATAAAACTTAATACTTATTATTTCTTTCTTAATATAAAAAAGAAGTTTCAATTAAGAGGAATGTAGATATGATCTGAGGGTATTTACTACTCTTGTAGGATCTTTTTTCATAAGATAATAATATTTCGTATTTCTTAGATAATTTTATTTATCATTAGCTATTCTCAAATTTTTGCATATTAATAGAGTATAAGTACAGAAATATTTTAAAATTCAAAAATTTACTGTTAATACAAGTTACAGGCAAGAAGTATCTGAATATGAGACATGAATAGGGAGGGGTAACCTGGGGGGGGGGTAAAATGGGGGGTGCAAGGATGTTTAGTAGCTAGGAATTTATTTCTGAACCACATGGCTACTGAAGGACAAGGTCAGGAAAGTTAAAGATCGTGTAGATATTTATAGAAAAGTACAAATAAATAGAGAGAAAAAAAGAAAAAGAAAAGAGAATTTTCACCAGCAGGTATGGCTACTGGAAGCTGCAATAACTACAGTAATACGCTCTGGGATGGAATTAATATATCCTATAAAATCAATACCAGTAATCTCATTCTATTTCTTATAAATTACATTAGCTATGTCAAATAGCCCAGTAGGTTGAGGAGATTATTTATTTAATTAATCCTTAAGGGTCTGCCAAACATTTTCTATAGGATTTAGGTTCCGGGAAGAAGGGGGCCACTGGAGGCAGGGTATTTGATATTTGTGATGAACCGTACTTGTATGTCAGGCTTGGTGAGCAGAAGTTCTATCTTCTATTACCCAAATCTGCTTACTCTCTCACAATCTCTCACTCTCCTACCTCCAAAATGGCCAAAAGACTGGCCTTAAAACATGATCCACATAACTACTTGCAGTTATGTTTTCCCAATCTTCTTTCTTTCAGAGAATCAGAGATGCCTTCTTGTCCCTCAGTATTCTACCTCATATCATAATACAATCCAGCTGGGGAAACTGGGAGACAAGACAGTTGTCCTCATACTCTTCTTTTAAATGTCAGGTTACCCAGGTGTAACCATGAGTATCTGTCAGTCAGAGGTAGCACTCATCAGTCTATAGTACCTGATGCTAATCCTCTACCATCAAATCATGATAGACTAAAGTAAAAGCCAGTTGCTGTATCTGTAATAAGACTCTATAGAGTACTATTACAGTTAGCTAAACCTATGTCTATACTGGTTTTAAGAAACTACCGCAGTAGGAATGGAAATAGACTAGAGTCTATCAAGTAGGGGTACTGTTGGTTAGGTATTTCAGTTGGACATACTATGACATACTAAGAAGTACATAGGTATGATACTTGTACTAGAAACTTTTCAATAAAATTTTCATTTAGAGGAATTATTAATCCTAATTTTTTTATTATATAATATTATTTTATATTCACAAATTTCACTTACTTTTTTGTGGTTATTAAAAAATTATACTTTAAATTACCACTCTTCTGCCTTTTTCTTGCCCCGTATATACATGTAGGCTCAGCTAACAGTAATTAGATTTTCTTTATATCTCAATCCAGTTTAGTATTTCTAATACTTCCCATTAATTGGTAGTTCAGTTTCATCATAGATATGATGAAGAAGACTCTAGATGTTCATGAGTTAAGAGAAATAGTTCCTCAAAAAGAGCAGAATGGCCTAGAGAATCAACCTCAGAACTTGAAGACTTAATATATTCTTAACAATACATGGAGAGAAGCTAATAATAAGCTTAAGAAATAGGAAAAGTAGGAAAAAAATAACAAGTGCATAGAAGAAAGATACTAAGTGAACTGAAGCGGGTGACCAACATGTCGGAATCTCTTCCATTATAAAAACTGGATACTGCTGTAAAATTTTCTTATCATATGCATCATAATAAATCTATCCTTAACCTATTACTGTTGTTTAGCCCCGCGCTGTTTCATTAGACTACCCCCTACCAAGTACTTTGAAGATCATTTAGCATTACCCAAAGTAGTGGTAACAATAGTGGTAAGCTTGGCACGGTCATCCACCCCTTCACATTCCAACCCATTTCTGCAAGTTATCAATCGCAGAAGCTTACTCGACCACATTGTGAATGTGTGCGTTCCGGAGTAGGAGAGAAGAAGCTTGATTTTTCAAATACAAAGCGAGAAGAGATACTAATATACTACATCCACTGAGCAGTCACACCGGACACTGTGCCCTATACTACATAGGCCACCTTTGGAACAAGACGCAGTAGTGATACCCTTATTCCGACATTCAACTACAAGAGGTACCCAATACGGTAAACCACTTATAATTAGATTAGGCGTAGTCACAGATTGAGAAAACAAATAAGAGTCTTGTGACTAAAGGAAAGGAAAAGGAAACTACCTCTGTACGGCGGATAAGGACTAAGTCCAACACACATTTCCAGAGCGAAATGCGGGGCGGGCGGTCAGATTCCAGGTCCGATACCTTACTCATAGCACATATTCTGAACCACCCGGGCATCACGTTAATCAATGGGTCGCGGTGGGGCTCGCCACAATTCATTAGTATGATACCGTAGTCTACCAATCACCACAATTCACTAGCCATACAGTAGTCTACCAGCTATGACACAATTCCAGTGCATCCTGCACTAAGTACTTGCCCCCCCCCTTCACTGAGTCTACGGCGGACTTCAAACCACACCTGAGTAATTTCCAATGTATACATATTTCTCACATGAGTTTGATTTCTGTGACTCCGTACACCTCCCATCCCCCTGCCTCCTGCCCTCGCACTCGCATCTATTAATTTAACAAAAGAGACTTTCAAAGACAGTCCACACTTAACTGCAAATACCATAATTTGCTACACACCCCACCTTTGCCTCACGCCTAGCTTACTACGCCGGTGACTCCTGATACCCTAGACCCATGCTATCTATACGTACACCATGCCAAAACAAAATATAACTCAGGGAAATGAATAAAGGAGAATAGACAAAGTTGAAATCCCACACGTCCTCTATCCAAAACACCCTTTACTCAATGAATAACGAAGAGACAAAGAGATGAAATAAGATGGAAAACTTCAGTCGATAAATAGGGAAAAAAAAAAACAATTAGCCAAAAAGGGACATCTAGTCCGAAAGAAATAATATATGGACTAGACAGGTCATTGTATCCTCTACTCCCATCACCTCCAGCTGGTGCCTGAAGGCACTACATAATTTTATAAACCCTCTTAGCGATAAAATAGCACAAAAATCCAAACACGAGTAGGCCGGCCGTGATGCACCAGAACCAATTCAGGTTGTCGATCTCCTGGCCAGGGACCAGCACGTTCATGCCCCAGAGGCCGGTTATGATGTTCATTGGCAGGACGATGGTTCCCAGGACTGTAAGGCGGCCGAGGACGTCCGCCGTTTGTTCCTGGCGTTCGTTCACTGGAGGACTGTTAATGGTTGAGATGTAGGGAGGGGGAAGGAAGTGGAAAGGATACTCTTGATGTTAATCTGTGCAAGGTAGTTCGAATGTGACCTTGATAGGATTTTCTCCATGTGGTTCAAGTTACCAACCATCGTTACAATGTGATCTTCCCGCCTAGTGAGCTCACCCAATTCTACCTATCCGTAGCATAGGGAGGGAGAGTACCTTGAATATCGCCCAAATACAGCCCAATCTCACTCCTAGGCGCTACTTCCCACTGCTCATTACACCTCTTCGCAAAACCCTTAATCACATCCGCTTTGTTTCCTAAAAGTCTATACAGTCCCATAACCTTCTTGCGTGTATCGCCGACCCGCTTCAACATATCTCCGTCGCTCTTCTGTTCCGCTCCGTCCGAGGCACTACTGCCCACGTTGCTCTTCTTATCCGAAGTGCCATCCGAACCAGATCTGAGGTGCATTTGCAGGATAGCATCATCAATCTCGTCAACTTCTTCTTCCAAAGATTGAATTAATGGAGCGAAGGCGTCGGTGATATCGTCGATAAGCGCATACGAGATCCAGTCCGCTGACACGGTGATATAATCCTTCAATTGCCGAATGCGTCTCCGGACGTTTGCTGGATGAGGGGTGAGTGAGAAGTGGAAACTTATTACCCCTTCCCGGAAGACGACAAAGTAGATGTTTACGGGCTCGAGATATTCCTCGCTATTAGTGTCTTGCTCGAAGGTGCGATAGGAGACTAGATAATAGCTGCGGAATAGCTCTACCTTTTCGCGGGTCTCTTGCATCAGTATATCTTCCGAGGTCAGCGGGTGGATCCCAAAGGCTCGAATGAACACCTTCATCTCGGCGTCGGTGGGGTTCATGACGTCTAGCCAGAAGGTTGGCCGGGGTCCGATGCGTACTGGAGGGGTATTCTGTGGGGAAGCGCGGGCGGGAGAGCCGCTTCCGGTAGTTCGCCCGTTGCCGTTACCGTTTTCCACCTCCGATTGTGGGTGTTCGCTCTCATCATCTGAGCTATCGTCTAGAACCCGAGGCTCGGGACGGAATAAATCTTTAAATGTTTGACCAGGCTGTAGCAGCTCTGAAATTGTATGCGAGTGGATAGTGGCCGGCAATTCATCATTGAAATAAGTGAATCTATACGGCTCGTCCTCCACCTCCCTATGCCACCCAGACTTCCTAGGCGCACGTAGTCTCCCACCAACATATACAGGCTCAGCAGTTTTCTTCGCTCTGATCCCTTCACTCCTCTCCTCCTTCTCCTCCCGGCTCCACTCCTCCAATACCGGCAGATCCGGCCACTCGCGCACCCGCCGTCTAGCCGCATGCACGCTCCCACCATGCAAAGTCGCAACCTCATCGTCCGTAAGCCCATCATCTACAGGAAAGCACACATCGGCTTCTGCCGTAGCCTGTCTATGCCCCGGGCCAAACTCCTGCAGGGGCGTAGGGCATGTAGAATCTGGGTACCCATGATCATTAGTCGCGTCCCCTGTAATATTAATTATCGCATCACCCTCCCGCAAAGACCTACTCGGCACTCCCAACCCATTAGTATAATCCCCAGCGCCCATCATTCCCAGCACAGGCATAGGTCCCAAGCTAGGGCTCCCCGGCACGGAAGGTGGGAAATTTACACCTCCATAGTCTCTGGAAGCCCCGGCCAACGGCGGTTGTAAATTTGCAGAACGCCGGCCAGGCGGTGGGGCCATGGACCCCGCAGTGGATGGTCTAGATCGTTTACTCTTCCCCGGGGACACCGGCGGGTCGATATCTGCCCCTTGTGCCGACCTCATGGAGGATCCCAGTAGAGGAGCATCCTCCTTGTCCCCGTCGTCCTCGCTCTCCATCTCCCACGGGAACCCGCGGGAATTGAACCGACAAGAGGAACCCGATGGCCCTGGTGTAGCGGACATGTTCGAAGGGCCGGCTGGCATACGCAATCTGCTTCCTGAGAAGACTGGAATCGATGAGTATTGCGTGCTCGATCGTCGCGGTCTCATGGACTGCTGTTCTCGATGGTCCAGTAAGGCTGAACTCTCGATCGAGGTGTTACTGAGGTTCGGGTGAGCGAAGAGATGGGACGGTCTACTGCGAGAAGGACCACCAGGTGAGGTGGTGGAGTCTTTAGGTGAGTCTTGATGTTGGGGGCTCGAAGACATGGGGGAGGTTGGAGTGGTCGACAGCAATAGCTGCAAGAATAGTGGTTGAGGCTCTACGTGTTCGACCGTGGGGTTTCTCGTGACCCGAGCGAGGACAGGATAACAAACCCTCCTGCCCCCGAGGTGTCGGAGGCAATTATTGGTGCGGGATTTCCGGGGGCCTTTCTCTTGGGGATCGGCGCGGTGGGGGTGAAGCCGAAGGTGAGAACGAGGAGGAGGATGAGGATGGAGATGGGTATGAAATGGGCTGTTAGTTATTTGGGACGGAAGTGGTGGGTGGGAGGAAGGGGTGCAGACGGGGACATGAGAAGAGGCTTCGCTGTCACACAATCAAATCAATCAGTGAATTGGCTGCATTTTATGCTTGGAGGATAGGCTCCTGTTCTGTTGTTTTTCTTATGCAATCGAATCCTACCAATTCAGACAAAGTAAGATGGTGTACCGTACTAGTACTAGCGCGTGCTAAATACAGTACTGCACTCTACAAGTACGAGTACAATACAGTACGAGCACAAGCACCGTGCCAGAAGTGACAAGTATGGTATAGTATAGTACTCGTATGGCGGTGATGATCTTGGGGGGGGAAGTTCTTTAGGTAAGGTTTACGGCATCAAAGTATGGTACTTGTACAAGTATCCAAACCAAGCAAAAAACTGTGTCCGACTCGCGCGCGAAGTTAGTATGCTGTGCTCGAGTGAATGATAGTGTGAGATAATTAACTTACCCCTCTTTCTATAAATCCCGCCCCACAGGAAACCGGTGTTCATCCATCCAACTTTGAGCCCGCGGAACCCCGATATGGCCAACCACTCATCATGCAATTGATCAACATTGCTACCCTACTTTACAGTGCAATTGCATGCTTGCTTGTTCCCGGGTCAGCATATCGGCAGCCGGTAAGCTAACCAGGGCCCAGCCAAATTAACCCCTTTTATTATTTCAGGAACAAAAAAAATAGCTCTATCATAGTTGACATCCTGAGGCTTTCACAAATTATCATACTCGAGTACCGGTACTCGAGTAAGCGACAGCCAGTCGGTACACGGTGTTATCAGGAAGGCCAATCATCCAGAAATTAAACACACAACACTAAACCACGCCATGATCTACAAATACCGGTATCATAAATCAGAGGAGAGAGACGGGGGGATGAAATATCGGCACCGTATGCATGACACCATAACCCGACATTAATATGATACACTGCTACTACCGAAATACCGGTACGAGTACTTGTACTCGTACTGTGCTCGAGATACATACAGCTGTCCCCCAGCGGGTATCACGGGCATTCCCTAGTCTAACCTGCCGTGTCGTGCAGTGTGCCTGTCATCTCGGGACCGCCGCTTGACCACACAATTCAGATAGGACGGCGATTGTGACATGCTGGCGACACTAATCCGCCAACGTGAATAACATGGAGGGATGGATGAGGGGAAAGAGGAAAAGAATGAGTAAAGAAATGATGCCGGTGATAATGATAACATAAATTGAAATAAAAGACAACACCCCTCCCTCTATCGCAAGACTAACGATACCCCTTAAGACGCAGAACATGAAAATCCCCGCATCCCAAAAACCATTCCTTACTTCAACTCCATCGGAAACACCCTTGCTCAACGGTACAGTGCTAACCAAGCCTATCGCCGCATACCTACATAACTTCTTTCTCTCTTCTGCTTCCCTTCCCACTTCAGACGGGACTACGGTAGACATCTTATCAATTGCTAGCTTCATAACCAGACCACTCCTCAGATAACCAATCAACTTTTACTTGCGGGAAAAAAAAAACAATAACCGATCAAATAATCAAATGGCCTTTCTGACAGCAGCAGCATGGCCCACAATTCCATCACTCAGACGCTGTCTCAGCTGGATCATCTGTTGCTTTTGATCTGCTGGCAACACTTCAATTTGGTCCATGGGAATGTTCAGGACTTGTTGCAAGAGAGCCACATTTGGGTCTTGAAGGTTATGAATGGCCTCAATGATGGGTGCCTGATGAGTGGGGGTTGAGATCTGGGAGGTACAGTTGAACGAATTTGATCTCTGAGCGACAAACGGATGCATTTTAGGGGAGGTAGGGAAAGAGGTCGGCATGCTATGCTGGCGGTCTAGGGGGGCGGGAGCAAGAAGGGAGGGAAGGGCTGAGATAATACTTCTCGCCTCCGCAGAGGAACCCTTCGAATTGTTTTCTTGCCCAAAAGCACGATGGACAGTGGACAAGGAGCACAAGGGAGAACCCGTGGGCTCCAAGTACCTCCCCATCTGCGCATGATCCACCTGGCCCATTTTCGCCATGGCTTCGAACAGAGCATATGACAACTGCGGAGCTTGCCTGAGCAGCTCCGTAACCCTCACCGGATCCTTGATAGCAAGATCGCGCATCTCACACAACACCTCGCCCAACTTTGCAGACGGAATAGCATCCATAGTCCTGGATATTGCTTCGGTCGCGGAAAGACCCTTTGGTAGCTCCATACCCCTCGGAAGGTCTGGGAAGGGATTTGAATGTGGGGCCTCGGGAATGTGTCCGTGGGAAGAGTAATCAACTCTCAACTTGCGGCCCAGAATCTCGTAGTTATCCAGGTTACGGACAGCACTGGCTGCGGTCTCGTTGTCGACGAATTCAGCGAAGCCATACCCTTTGGAACGACCAGTTTCACGATCAAATACAAGACGAAAGCAGATAACCCGGCCAACAGCGGAGAAGATTTCGACAACTTGAGTCTCGGTGAGGCCTAAGAAATTCTTGTTAGGATTGTAATTAATAAAACAATGAAGTGGGGTCAGTTGCCGAACGGTACGTTGCCAACAAAAACAATGGAGCTACTGTGATAGGCGGGACCTGTTGACAACCCTGGAGGTGATTTATCAGAATTCATAGCTTTTGGGATCGCCAGTAAGCACTCCGGATGATCAAGAGACTTTCATGAAAACTGCTGGGGAAGTATCTAAGGGGGTCGGTGGCAGTGAAAAAAAGGCGTGGATGAGTGATTGGAGATGGCAGGCGGTTCTGGAAGGTAGACGTACACCTGCGAATCCACAAAGCAATTGCTTGTTAGGGCTTGGTAACTCCAGGATGTCAGCCGGCACTCGTACATCTTACCCTTCCCGAATATTGGTGCAGGGTATCATACAGAAACTCTGAGCTATCATATGTCTCTCAGATATCACTCGAGTATCAAATAGTTGATTCAAACTGTACGAAAGTCTATGATTGTTCAAGTATCATATTCACAAATCACCAAATAATATTTTCAAAGTTGAAAGTATGGATAGGAGAGTTTTTATTTCGCTATTATGAAAGTGCCTCTGCCTCTAGAAAGAGATGTGATAACCCTTAATACACTCTCCCTCATTCCAACTTAGCTATTTTCGGTGGTAATGTGGAATTTCATTTCGGCTTGCCCTGTACGGAGATTACTACTTCTTCTCCATAACATTTAAACCTAAGCCATCGGTGTCAAGGTAGAGCTTGTTCCTTCCACCGCTCTCCTGGAGAATCGTAGCAATATTTCGGGCATTCTCAATTTTACGGAGCTCAACATAGCTCTTGGACTTCTTGATAGCATCTCCGATAAGCTCTGCTGAGCGGGCTTCACCCTGAGCGCGGACAATCATGGCTTGCTTCTCCTGACGTGCTTTGTCGACAATGAAAGCGGCACGCTGAGCCTCTTGTCTATAAATCTGTCAGCAAGCTAGACCCATCTTAACTAGGACATCCCAAAGCGCCTACTGAGCAACTTGTTTAGCCTCGACTGCGGCGGTGAATTCAGGTGAGAAAGCAAGATGCTAAAAAGGCTAGATTAGTCCACAATATGCCAACCCCAAACCCAGTGACACAAACCGTCAGAGAAACATCATCCAACATGATGTTAAACCTCGCAGCCCTCTTTACCAAATTGTCCCTGACAAGCCTACTAACGCTCTCACGCTGGGTGATTAACTGACTAGCATTGAACTGCGCAACAACAGACTTCAAAACCTCATTGACAATCGACGGTAACACACGCTCATCATAGTCCACACCAAGGGTACGGTAAATTGTCGGGAGGGCATCAACATGAGGACGAGAAAGCACACGACAAGTGATATTGACCATCTGGAGATCTGGTCTAAATTAGCCTCGCACGCCATTAAACAAACAAACAAAAAAGTGGAGCTCGTGAATAACGAACCTTTGGTACCAGTCAACGAAGCAACATTTCTCGGCTTCGCACGGACATCGTAAGTAATTGGTGTCTCGAACCAAGGTATAACAAAATGTGTTCCTGGAAAATATTAGCCCGAGGTCGGTGCAAACTTTACCCACGGTACAAACAAACCTTCATTGTAGATCTCCTTCTTGACACCCCCGAGGCGGGTATATTTGATGGCACGATGACCACCATCAACTACAAACCGTCAGTCTAATTCCCTATGCAAGAAGATGAGGGTGAAAAAAAAAAGCAAACCGTTAAAAATTGCACTGTTAAAGGTAACCGCTGCAGCACCAAGCAGTACTAATGCAGCACCACCGCCCAAAACTCCCTTTGGCGGTCCTCTGCCAGGGCCGCCCTGTCTTTGGACCCGAGTAATGGCAGCTTGAATGCGGTTCCAGGTCTCGCGAGGGTTGTTGGAATCCATTGCTTGTCAAATGGTTGGTGTTGGAGGGGTGGGACAGATGAATCGTGGTTGCGTCAATTCCGGGGGATGGAGTGGGATGCAGAAAAGTTGCTTGGAAATGAGATTCCTAGTTCGGGCTGTGGCTGATGGTAGTTGCAGTGTTTGGCGGGGTGGGATACAAAGTGCGGTTTCCCAAATTAGGCATGGAAATGCTGGGTTAAGGTAGGCAAAGAACACCGAGGTTATGCCAGACCCTGACAAGCTGCCATCATTAATTTTTTGTATATCGATCCCCGAAAAAATTATAGAAGACATTACAAATTTCCGCGATCTCCATTTATTGGGGGCGATAAATTTCTTGGACGAAAACAATTTGGAGGATTTTTGCCCACGTGACTTGGATTTTTCTGAGTCTACTCCCCCCCGCATAGTGCTGCTGTCGGTATTGCTCCTTTCTCGCCTCGGTGGGGTGTCGGTGGCTGACACGCACTTGGCTTGTAAATTACGGGTAACATGATACATAATTTACTACCGGTATTCTCGAGTAGTACGACACCGGCATGGCATCAATCTCAAGGTCAACGCAGTCCCTAAGTCTATTTTCTTTATATTGCTACAAAAGATCGAACAGCCCGCGATTCGGCCATCCACCCCCCTACGAGGTTGGTTAATCCCTAAAGGCAAAGTCCCAGAAATTAGGCCGAAGCACACGGGGTTGTGATCCGAGTGATAAAAGGGCAGCCGCAATTAATACTCTCAAGTGATTTGAAGCTGGGGTCACCCTGGCCTCGGGTGTTAGTTCCTACCATCTTCTCAAGCAATGTACGAGTAGGGGCTTTAGCTTGGTGGTCCAAAATAATTACTTCCAGCCCGAGCAACAACGTTCAGCGTCAAGCAAGGCCCCACCGCATGAACAAGCTCCCGCTTGAACAGTGGGGGGCATAAAAGAAATACTCTAGGATAACAAAACTCACTGCAGTGCCACGGATCGCTACGCTTGTTGCAAACTTTCCAACCAGATCAAGACTCACTGCCTTGGAAAGCTGACAAGCCATTAACCTGCAACACTAAATTCCTTAGAGCCACTGCGATATATACTGCTACTTAGATGGAGCCAGATGTTCGGAGCAGAATTAGGTTTCCCAATACTATCTCTGATTTTCACCTTCAGGTTTCAACTCCAAACTTGGGAACAAGGTAGTCGTACCTCCTTCACCAGACCTTGGTATCCACTTGAAAAAGCCTATCCTCGTCCCCGCGAAGCTCGACCACGGCAGAAAAATTTAAACCTAGGTAGCGATTCAATCAATCTTCATGCTTCATGCTCCTAAGAATTCAGGTGCCTCTGCCAATGGCCCTATTTTTGTGTCTTTCTAGGTACCCCTGATAAGCCTGGCTTTCAGAAATTGTCGAATTCGACCCGACGGACAGAGGAGTGCTTGCAGAAGTATGTGTTGAACACGAAGCTTCCGCAGAAGCCCACAGGAAAAATCCCAAGAAATGCCGAAATCACGGGGGCCTGCGGAAACAGCCTCACATACAGATGGGGTACAGCAACCGAGAGGGAGAACAAAGTGACCCGAATGGGATAGATAGGCGAAGGGGTCCTACTTGTTGTGTGAACCGGCAATATGGTTAGCTCTCGGTCAGTGCTTCTATGATACTTCTGGTGGCTATTTTAGGGGAGGGAGTTGGAGCAAGAGTAACCACCTGGATCTTGTCAGTTTACAACATTTACAACAAAAATAGGGAGGATGAGTTCGTGATACCCTAGCTTTTATGGCCAACTCAGGAGGCTTGGGATTAGAGCCCAATATTTGGGAACTACATGAGAGGGTTTTGGCTCGACCAAGAGTCCCGAAGAATAATCTCCCGGACAAGCGCAATGGAGCAAGACGAGTGTTGGGGCAGCAGACATACAGTACTGGTATGCCCCCCCCCTACGCTCGGGTGGATCGCAAGGTCCAAAATTGGCGACAATAGGTTCGTGGGCTGAAGCAGATGTACTTAAGTTAAAATAAATGAAAGAGGAAACAGCGACTGTTCCGAGGGGCGCTGAAGGAGATGGATGAGAGGTGGGAATTGTCATAACTGTAGGAATCCGGAACAATGGATTTAAGTAGGATGGAGCCAAGGAAGCAAAGATTTGGATGCGACAAAAAGTGCGGTATTGTGACTTGGTCGTTGGAAACATACTAGTAACAATTCGTAGAGTATAAAATTTAGGAACAAAGTAGGACATCTAAAAACTTTACAAGATGGGGGGCAATTTATGTTAGAGGGAAGGGCCCGGGGGTGAACACAGCACGAAGTGCGAGACGTCATACAGGTACTGTCCACGCACCAATAGCGAAGTAAGACTGCATGGATATTTGTAGTTCACCACACAAGGTTTAGCAAGTTCTCCAGAATTTAAACACCAACAGATGAACAGGTAGTTAGAAATACACTCAGTAAGAAGGGACCCCCACCGCATAAGCGCGGTGGGGGGGGGGTTGCTATACATGATTCGAATGTAAACCAGAGGTTCCATCAAAAACGTTGAGACACTGGTCATGTAAATAAGACGCCCAAAAGAAAAAAAAAAAGAGACCAACGATTCTCGCAATGGCCACTACCCGAATTGAGGAAGTTCAGAAAATGATGCCGTGATCAATTAAACGTCACTGTCCCCATCCCTGTTATTCATATCCCTCACTCATCAAAACCCAAAGCGCCGAGTTGCCTTGTAAGCTCTTGAAGCTTTATGACCTTCTCTAACTGTTCCGGAAGCAGGCTTTCCCCAACTTCCTTCCGAATTTTGAGTTCATTTGCCTGGCGAATTTTTTTTCTGATTGCCTTAGCCATCTTCTCTCTTTCATCGGGAGTTGGCTCAGTTTTTGTCTGCTCAAGCTCTGAACCTCCAGCGGTAGGAGTGGTAGAAGCTGGATCATCGTTCCGGGACCCGTTCGTTTTCTCGCTGGATCCAACTGCCCCCCCATCCGCTTCTGGTTGTCCGCCCGCAACCCTCTCTTTAGCCCTCTTCCTAGCAGCTTTTCTCTTTGCATTTTTACTTGAAGCAGAGGTTCCAGCCGGCTGCTTCCCATCCTCGTCGCTTGGGGATGAAGCGCCAGGCACACCTCCACTACCACGGTTCTTCCAAGCTTCTGCGGTCCTGTTCTTATAAATTTCGACATCCTCAGGTGGACGATAACCAGGCCGCACACGAATCTCACGCCTAGTAGAACCATCTGGGCGTAAAGAAGATGGTATAACTCGCTGCCCATCGGACGTGAGGGTAATGCCGGACTTTGCGGATGTAGAGGTTTCGGCAGCAGGGTCGGATGCGGGGATTGAAGTCGACATACTACCAAGGCGGTGGCTAGGTCAATCTTCGTTTCCAATGATGAAAGAGGGGAATTTACGTACCTAGCGGATGCGGAGAATTATTCCCCAGGACTGAGGGTAAAGAAAAATTGTTTGTGTGGATGTAGGAGATTCTTTCGGGACGCCTCGGGCAAATTGAGTGAGTATCCGATAGGATGGTATGATAATATGATAGCTGTCTGAGTCGAAGGACAAAAAAGTTGTTGCCTCAAAATGGCCCTAACCCTACCTGCAGAGAAGAGGGTTCGACTGTTCTGTGCCGTACAGGTGCCGGTATCATGGGTGTTGACAAACTTAATGTGCACCAATAATACCAGGGGTTGACTTAAGTCCGGCTCACTACCATTCAGTTCATATATCGTAAGCTGAACCAGATTAGGATTTTTGAGTGATAACTCGTGAGGATTTTTGGTCGCCACAAATGGTTGGGCGCTGTAACAAAGTTCCATTTTGACTATAATACATTGAGAAATAAGAGTTTTAAATTTACACGGCAACCAGATGCAAAGTGAGAAAATGAGGAAAAATACATAATTGTGAATTAAATTTCGTAACACCCCTGTCCCTGGCTAAAAATACACGGAGGTAATATAGATAGGCGCAGGGTTGGTTGTTAGAATTACTTAATTTATTCCTTCAGCTTTCAATTTTATCAGACTATCAGGCTGTTGTAATCAGTAATTTCAAATACAGTATAGGAAGTAAATTTAATCTTTAATATTGGACATCTTGATAAGAAATATTTTATAATATATTTTCACTACAGGTTATTATAACTAGTTATAAAAAGAGGTAAGCTATGGATTACTAATACTTTCAAAGAATAATGTACTAATAAAAACTTCATTAATTGTAGGAAAAGAGATAATATCATAGCAATAGGCAAGTGCTAGGAATACTGGAATCCAATACCTAGGAATTATCCTAAGTAGGGTAACTCCACCCAGAATCGGAATCCCTGGTCTCCAACACCCTCCTTCAGCCCCCACACGGGGCCCGCACATCTTTATACATATCAATTTCAGTTGTATCCTGTGACTAGAATGCCACAGAATTAAAGGGATCAGAATAATACTGTAACGTGTTCGCAAGCTGCTAATCACGTTTTCGGTAATAGATACGATAGTTGGCAGGTGGCCTGCTCTTTCAGAGAGGAGGTGAGAGCTGAGAACTAAAGAAGGCTTCAGAGGTGTACTGAGGAACAAAGAAGTAACCGTTCAACCAAGTATATTGAAATACTGTCTGTTGAAGTCTGCCTTTTCTATCGTAGAAACAGGCGGTTTTTAAATACACAAATCTGTTCATGTCTAGCATGAACGAAACTAATTAAAGGTATCAATCGATACACTTTGGTGAAACTAATTAAGTATCAAAACAATACTTAAAACAAAACATAAAACAAAACTAAGTATCAAACGATACTTAAAACAAACTAAGTATCAAAGCAATACTTAAAATAAAACATAAAACAAAACCAAGTATCAAACGATACTTAAAACAAACCAAGTATCAAAGCGATACTTAAAGTAAAACATAAAACAAAACCAAGTATCAAATGATACTTAAAACAAACCAAGTATTAAAGCTATACTTAAAACAAAACATAAAACAAAACCAAGTATCAAATGATACTTAAAACAAAACATAAATCAAAACCAATAACCGAGTACCTGTACCGGTTACATTCCCCAAAACAAAACAACTTTTTAAACAAAAACTAATAATCATCAAAAGCGGAGTCCGAGAAGCTAAAGGCTTCAGTTTCTGCTATGAACTCTTCATCATAAGTGTCACACCAGGGACAAGAAGAAATCCTGAGAAAACACTTAGACTCAAAGAAATGTAAATCACAGTAGTCACGAATACCAGATTCATGCTGTACATCAACCCAAGTATGGTTGCAATTAGGACAGTAGTCTATCCCGAGGATTTCGAAATAGTCTTCTAGTTGGATAACATCGCGGTTCAACAACAGTGCAACAATCTGTTGTCGCAGCCTCACATTGAGTTCCACATAGTTTGACATCGTTATGGTATTCGGATGGTGATTGGTGATCAGATAAGGTTGTCGAGAGCCTGCTCCATAGCTTGATTTTCCTCATCACTACTTTCGAATTCCGACTCAAGGTATGGTGCCCAAAATTTATCCCTAGTTTCGAGTTCTGCATACCATCGCTCAGTCTCTGGCATCGTAGGCATCCAGCACATGGTGATGTAATTGATCGTTGGAGGGAGGGATTCATTTAGCATGTTGTCTTTCCACCATTCATTCACCATATCCATAGCATGCTCTAGTCCTTCTAGTGGTTCCCAGCTGTTTTTGCTCATTGGGTATCCCTTCCATTTGACCAGGAACTGATTATTTCCATGCCAAAGGCGGTGGTCTCGGATTTCTTCAACTTCCCATTCATCTTTCTTATCAATGATGATAGGTGCAGGTCGAGAGTGGGTTCTTCCAAGGAACCTGGAGTCGTCATTGGGGTGGAATCGCTTGACAGGAAAGGTGTGGAAAACTGCAGTATTGCGGTGGTATATGCGTCCATCCATCTGGACAGTTTAGTTTTCTGTATGCTCGTCAAAGGATAAAACTTTGAAAGGTCCTCGCCATCAGGTTTGTAATTTCTTGCTGCGTCCAACATTGGTAATAAACAAGTTTCCATGTACCATGAGCATATCGCCTGGTGGGATAGGAACATGTTGGCATCATCGCTTCTGAGTAGTAGTGGTGCTTCGGAATCGGGCAGCTTTAACAGCTTGGAAGGCATCATTCCGAATTGCTTGATAGCGGTTTAGGTGGTCATCAGAGGCAGGGACTGAGGAGTTCTTAAATAGAGTTGTAGGTAGGAGAGGGTATTGGCGGCCGAAGATTGCCTTATATGGGGACATTTCCAAGGTGTCTGAAAATCTGGCATTGATATATGCGGCCAGCTCAATGAGGGCTAGTTCCCAGTTGGTTTGTCGTTCATTGATCATGTTCCTAATTCCGGTCTTAACTTCGCTGATTTTTCGTTCTGCTTGGCCATTAGTCTCATGATGTCCAGGGGTAGCCATAATGTGGTTGATTCCGAGGGAGGTCAAGGTTTGCTTCCAGAATCTGGTGGTAAAACGGGGATCAGCATCACTGACAATAGATAAGGGGTACCCATGGGGGGTAAATAGATATCGTTGGAGGTTATTCCAGGTATCTTTGGAGGAATCGGTAACCTTCATTGATATGAGCCAGGTATATCCAGGAAACCGATCCACCGCTACCAAGATGGTGTCATATCCGGCGGACTTGTGGAATAGTCCTGCGAAATCGATGGCATATAATTCAAATATTTCGCATGGTAGTTGGAGGGACTGCGCTTTCCCTTCAGGTAGTTGTGTTCGTTCCTTATTTGCCTGGCATAGATCACATTGTTTGATGAAATCACGGAAGTCCTTTTACATTTCAGGCCAGTAAATATATTCTGAGATATATCAGAGGTTGCGGTCTGCACTGTGGTGTCCTTTGTTGTGAATTTCAGTGATGACATATTCTCTAATTGTCCTTCAATTGAACATATAGCCTTTTGGGATGTATAGGTAATGTTCACCATAACGGGTGCTGGTATAGACTATTCCGTTGAGTATGTTGTAGGAGAAGAGGTCTCCATGTCTGGAGCTATCTATAACTTTGAAGTAGATCGGATCATGGCGATATCCTGCTATCATTTGACTTCGGAAGGAGGAGGTTAATTCTTCTATAGTTGATCTAACATCTCGCTCATCCTCAATGAGAGATCCTCTTGTTGGCTCGATAGGGGCTTCCTCTTCTTCTTCAAAGGTTTCATAGAGTTGTCGGCGATGTTCTGGAATCGTGGGGGGCAGAACAGAAACAATGGTTTCATTGTTGTATACTTATAAGGGCCTACTGTATAGTGGTCGTGAATTGATTATGGGAGGAGCGGATGGCGGGGCTGACTGCGGAGGGTATAGGTAAGCTATTACATCCACGTAGGCTGCTGCTTGTTCAAGTTCTTCAAGACTTTGGTGCCGTGTTGGAACAGGATTAAAGGTATGGGGAGGTTGGGTTGATCCATCTTCATCGATCATCTCTTCTGCTCCTTCTGCGGTGTCGAAGCTGGTATTTTTGGAATTGTCAGCAGACATATAATACGGTCGCTGGTATCTGTTGCTGAATTTAATTTCAGTCTGGTGAAAGGGGCAGGTATCGAGGTAACAGTGGGACCAGTGGAGTCTGCTTTGTTCAAGTTCGTGAGGAGGTGTACTGCGGAGGGTGCAATCGTCTTTCCACTCGTCATTAATGTCCTTTTCTCATTCAGTTCTGGCAGCTCTGTACAGGGTATAAGAGAAAGAATTGGAGGAAGCGGCAGAGCTGGCGGTAGCCATCGATGGTTCTTGTTCTTAGGAGGTGTCATCAGAGCTATCTTCGCTTTGTCTTGTGTGGTCATGAACAAGAGGAGGGTCTGTGAGTTCTTGGTTCTCATATAGGCGGGAGAGAGCATCAGCTAAATAGTTCGTTCTTCCAGGGGTATAGATGATTTTTGCGTCGTATTTGCTGATCTTACCTATCCATCTTATTCTTCTCCTTCTAGGTACTCTTTCTGTTTTAAGATTAGTGAGAGGTTGGTGGTCGGTAACAATGGTGAAGGTATTGCCTATCAGAATGTGGTTGAAAGCGGCGAGCACATTAATCATAGCAAGGGCTTCCTTGTCTGTTGTTCCATAGTGTAACGATCCCTCTTTGGATAGTTAGTGCTTGGCGATGGGGAACGATACTTCTCTTCGTGTCTTTCTTCTTCTCTTTTTCTTACGATAGCTCTAGGCTTCTGCCTACGTGACCGATAGTACAAGACCCTTGTCTTCTACCGGGAATGACTATTGTAAGCTTTCTCTAACTCTTCTTCGTAAAGCTCCTTCCTTGGCGTAACGATAACTTTGCAATAAAGGTAAAGGTCGTAAGGGTGTTTTATATTCGTTAAAGTAATAAGTAGAAAAAGTACTTAGAACAAAGCATGAAGAACCTATCTTCCTCGGCCGCATCGGCCTCCTTATATAGTGTTCTTCCCGCCTTTAGTCATGTGACCTAAAGTGGTCACATGTGCGAAACTAAATCATAACAAACTAATCATATGACCAAAGTGATCACATGCTC